GAAAGGAGTATAATAAATCGATTCACTGTAGTTATTATTACTATTATTCTTACATCTCTCTCTTTGATAATTAGTTATGCATTAAAGTGACTCAACCAAACCGTAATCAAGCGAAATCCGAGCTTAGTCAAATACCTGACGGCCTGTTTTAAACATTGGGCTACCTAGATTTCCATCAAATATAACACATCTCATTTTCACTATTTCTTAATGTTTCAATCTTTCCATTGTGTCCTGAAATCGCAACAGAAACTCCAGTAAACCGGTAACTGACATCCAATTTGCCACTGTGCATCCCAAAAAAAACCAGGGGTAAAATATAATAGAGGATTCCGTCTCTGAGCTGGATGGTAGTTTATTTGCGAGGCTTTCATTGCCCCGCCACTAGGCAACATCCTTAACTCAGCGTATAATTTAATTCCACAGAGTAAGCTTTTAGATATCTACACGAACTTTCAACTCATCTATCCTGGTGACCTGACCTAGAATGCGATTCGTTGTTTTTGTGTGTGTTTTCACGCCATCTCGGCGACTACTTGTATTGGCACTAGTACTGATTGTTTTCTGGACCCGGAGTTTTGCCTTTCGTATATGAGATCTCCGCCTTATAGATTGGTCAATTTTGTCTATGTCAATTATTATTATTCTTTCCTTTAATCCCGAGAGGAACATAGGGATTCAGTCGCCCAAGTCTCCATTGCGTTCGATTCTCTGCCAACGTTTTTATCTGGCTGCAAGTCTGCTCACATGCTTTCATCTCCTCTTCACATGACCTCTTCCAAGTCACCGTCATATTGACGACCAACTCACCGCTTCCCTTTCAGGTTCCACTGGAGGACGTGTCTAGTGATGTCACCTGATGGTTTCTTCAGAGTATGGCCAATCCACCTCCATTTCTTCCTGCCAATTTGTTACACAATCGGTTCCTGGTGAGTTTGCTCATTGCCAGAGATACCTGCTGCTGATCTTTTCTGGCCTGCCATCTGATCTGTTAATGAGGGCGTGTAGTTTGTTTGAAGTGCCATTCGTGACGCGACACGGCGCCAAGTCTCTGATCCGTATGGTGAATAGCGCTGACTTCACATTGGAGTTGAAAATCCGGATCTTATTTCCATTTTCATGCCGAGTGCTGTTCATCTACACACAGACTTGAGAGTAATGAAAGCTGGTCTTGCTTTCCCGATGATCCGTGCTTTGATATCCTCATCAGTTCTGTCCGCCTGTAGTTGAAACGATGCTTCCCAGGTATGTGGGTAGGTAAAGGAGGTTGTTTCTTACAGGCTTCTCCCATTCATGCGAGTTGTTGTTCGTTGTTTTTCTTGTTGTTGCTGTTGGCCAGGAATCTTCATCACCTCTGTTTTATCTATGTTCACTTGAAGTCCTATCTTTGATGCTTCTTCTGCCAACTTATTGCTTTTCATTTCCATACCTTGAAGTTTGTGGGAAATCAGACATATATCATCATCGGCGAAGTCCAGATCCTCCAAGTTTTTCGTGTGGGTCCACTGAATGCCTGTTTCCTCGCTGCCAGCTGTCTGTCACATTATCCAATTTATTGCGATCAGGAAAATCATTGGCGATAGTAGACAGCCAGCTTGTCTTACTTCCGTCTTTATTTCGCAGGATTCCGTGAGTTTCCCTTTGTGGATTACTTTGCACGCACCATTGTCGTACAACTGTTGGATGAGATGTATAATTGTCGGTGGTATCCCATAGTGGCGAAGTAGTTGCCAAATCACCTCTCGATGTGAATGTGTGTCTACAATAATTGACTATTCACTAAAATACGACTCTTCTAAAACTACTGTTTGGCATTCTTGGTGTTTCCTCTGTCTGATATTCGAACGTTGGTTGTTCCAGTCGAATCGATGTCCGTGGTTGTCTATATGTAGAGATATGAGGGAGTGGGTGTCATGTCTTTTGACGGCTAGCTTATGATCATGGATACGAAGACGAAGAGGAAGAGATGTTCATTTTGGCCAATGTAGTGTTTTTCGCAATCGTTGCGATTCATTATGTAGATGATGTTGGTTTTATCTTCTTTGGCTGTTGAGTCTTTTGGTTGACATAGAATTGAGTGAAGTGACTTTGTTGATTTGTGTATGACGTCACTTCCTAAAGGTTTGAAGAGTCTTATAGTGATTTCTGAGATATCCTTTATATATGGTAGGGCGATTTTCTTTGTGCTTTCCTTGAGGGCTTTCGGTTTGATAGGTTGGCTTGAGGGTATATTTCTTTTGATGAAATTCCGTGGATATCCATTCTTTCGGAAGACGTCCATGAAATATATTTGCTCAATTTTCCTTAAGGTGGGAGCGCTGCGATGAGTCCTGGACCTCTAGAGTAGTGTTTGTATACAATTCCTTTTGTGTGTTATTGGATTTTTGCTTTTGTAATTTAGTATTTGGTCTGTGTGAGTTGATTTTCTATAAACTTGAGTTTCTTATTTTCCTGCGGTTATTTACCTGATGAAGTCGTAGGATTCCTCCTCTCTTGTGAATTTGACGTCGTTGAAGATGTTGTTTATTAAGTGTTTAGTTTTATCCAACTCGTTTCTTTTGATTATTACAAATGTTTCATCTGCCTAACGTATCAAAATTTTGTGTTTGATCTCTGCTAGGATTATGTTTTCGAGCCTCTTCATCACTGCTTCTGTAAACAAACCTGATATTGGCGATCCGATGGGTGTTCCTTCGACTTAACCATATATTTAGCCATTGAATTGGAAGTACGTTGTTAGGCATAGGTCTATGCCTTCCACCCATCTTATGTTGAGTGTTGCATTTTTGATTGTTTTTGGAGGTGTCCGTCGTTGCTGAGTAATTTCTCCATTAGAGTAGTTGGAGTCCTCGGAGTATTAAGAACCAATACAAATCTTGAAATAATAATCGTAAAGCTTTATTTCTAACAGCATGTGAAGATATGTTATAGAAATTTTCAGAGTATTTACTTCCAAAATACTCCTTCTTTATACAGGATTTACTTATAAAGTAATAATCTGAAGAGTATCATGTGACGTAGTGTTTGGTTGGAAGTCAGTTTAATGGGCGTACATATAATATAACTGTACGATTAAAACAATTAGAAATGTAGAAGATTTCAAGCAGCATTTTGATGGACAAGCATTCTGACAGCCCAGTGACTCAAGCAGGCAGCCAAAGTGTTGGTGATATGGTGATATTCGCATATCCACTAAATAGTCATGTTTCACCATCTTAGTTACCAAACAGTTCCGAAGAAATCTGTCTACCTCAGTTTTCCATTCAGAGGAGATGATGTGCAAGAAGTAGGTAAATGAAGACTCGATATAGCTATCAAGAGAATTTATTATGCTGCAGAACTCGTCTTCCTAAACACCACTAAGTGAGTGCTTCAACCAAATGGAAAAGATGGCTAATCACGAATACTCGACACTTCAATTTGAGTGTGTTTGTGGAAGCAAATACATAGGTCGTACAGAAAGGCGATTGTCTGTCTACTCGCGTGATGGAGCATTCACAAAAGTGGTCGCAAACAGCTGAGTGCAAAGTGCCAAAATCCTCAATAACAAAACATCTTGTGGACTATGGACATGATATCAACGCTGTCAAGTCATTCACTATTGTCAATAGACAAAGAAACAAGAAGATGGTTGCCAAAGATGTTCGTCACTCTAAATCTACTATGTTAAGACGTTTTACTTATTATTCTACCTCTTATTATTATACTTGATTCATTTAAAACTATCCTTTATCAGTAGCATTATCTTGACTCACTTCAACACTATTATTACCATTGTTATTATAACGATTACTACTGATATTACTCTGTTAGCAATTCTCGTTATATTCTCTAATATCTAATTGTTTATCTAAATGATGTACTTGAAGCGTAATGCAATTGATCTTAATTTTAATCTCTCATACTCCCTCTCCCCCTACCTATTTGAACATGATCTGGAAAGACACTTACACACCTATCTCTCTGCATCACTAATTCAATCTAGTTTGTTTACTTATCAGTCTTATATCTCCCAATGTTATTTCAAAAGTATATATATATATACCCAGTATGTAGAGTATTCAGCTGACGAGTTCTACCGAAATTTGATGAGTCTCTCATTAAATCCTGCTTTATTAAGCACATTTATGGCTGCTTGTTTTAAAATGTTCTTATTCAATCTCTCTGACATTTCTGTTTATTATAGTTTCGCTTTTTTCAGCCACCTTTCCCTTCCTCACTTGTTTACCTTTATGTACTACATAAAATGTCGTAACTTGTGGTACTGCTGCGCTTCTTTGCTAAATTCTATGCTTATCTTCCGTCAGTGTAAGTAACAGTGTGGTGAGAGCTGTCTGTAAGACAAAATTGTAGACAACATCTGACATCAATGTCTACGACCGAAATCTTAGTGAGGTTAGAAAACAAGGACAAAGTCTAACCTTGACAGAGTCAACAACCAATCACAGCAGACTTTGTGTGGATGGATACAATTCAAAAATCTATCACTAGCCTGTCTAACAAACGGCAACAAAGACATGACCTTCAACCGGAAAACAACCAATCAGTAGACATTGCTTCTATGCTTACAATAACACTAATAATAATGTATATAAAAATCTATAAATATCTCTTGATTTTTCCAATAAATAATCTGTTGCTTAGCACTTAACTCCTGTCGTGACAGCAGTAGTGTTAGGTGTGACTAAACGTATAATACTACTTGCATAATGTATAATAATAGTATTAAAATAAGTGACATTGTAAAATTCGTGCAAACTGGACAACATCTAATATATATGCATTAACACAAACATTTCAATATAAATATATATGCATACATAACGGACACATTAACATATAGAGAGAGACAGACAACATATGGCTATTGTGCATACTACATACAGTGGTATATAAACTACATACAAGAAAGAGTGCAACATGCAGTGCTCAAACAGTGAACTGTGCACAATGCATATCTATTAAAGGCATCAAATTATACTGTCCTTAAATTGTCATACCATAAATTTGATACTGAACCTCTATGTCCACGAGTACTATACAAGAAAGAGAAATAAATTACAAAAGAAATGAGCAGTTAAAAAACATTTAAAACAAATTATTATATTTATTTGAAAAAACGCTGTTTACCACCATATTTAACGTATAGGGAGATTCAAACAAATTGCAATCGTTACTCGTTAACATGTTTGATGATGAAATGCTCCCCGAACACTGTGTGTCTGTGTTTGTGGTTCAGGTAGCATATCAGTCTGACGAACATGCTTCTAAACCTTGCCTAGCAGCTAGCGTGGCAGTAAAAAATGGTGAAGCTAGGCGAGAGACTAGCAACCCCACTCGCCACTATTGCTACTGCACCTCCGAAGCTAAAGGCTTCAATCTGAGATCAGGGAGGATGGCAGAGGAAATCTGCTACATGTAACACAAGGAATAAGACCCGGATTTTCAGCACTAATGTCATATGAAGCATTCCTAAAAGATTTTCCTCAACAGAGTTAGCTGTCTTCGCTTTCCTCCGATGCGAGATCAGATGACCAGTCAGAAGGTATAGGCAACAAGAAGCCCTGGTGTTTCAAGAAGAATAAAACATCAACAACTTATCACCCACAAAAAGTATCCAAAAGGAATTGGAGATAGCTGCTACCTTGATGTGGTGGTCGCCGGGTTCGCACGTCGCGATGACCCAACAAGCTACACTGACTGGAACAAATGTTCCTTCTGCAGGTCCTACCATACCAGGAAGGTTGTTAGGATAGTGATTAGACTAAAAGCGGTTACAGGAATTGTGTAGGAATCTTCCATACACTCTTCTGGGGGTCTGAAGGCGAAGTCGTACTGCGCTGGGGAACAGGAATGTAACAACAGTGAGATAGTTCCCTCAGACGGCTAGCATGCCAGCCAGCTATGCTGTTCCTCCACTTCGGAGAGACGGCAGTAGAAAAGGTCAACCCCAAAAATTGTACATACCGACTTACCCCACCTACGGTGATCCGTAACCGGCGGTAAGTTTACTAATACGGGACCAATCACAGAAACCAGTTCATACAGGCCGTGTGTGACCGGCCGGCCTCAAGCAGTTGTCCCCTGAGCTCTGCGGTCAGGTAACACCAAGCCTCTTTCTTTTCAGGTACCCGAAGAATCAGACAGACATACGCTGGGGATACCCCTTAAAGATATCATATGCCAGCTAGTTAGCCTCCTGAATGAGACATGAATGGAAAACGATGATTTGAAGGGGAGGGCGGTGTGGATTCCACGGTGGTATGGAGGAAAGTGAAATGAAGAATAAGTGAAAGATTGACAGCAGTCTCCATGATGAAGTGATCTTACCTATAGGTTCCTCCAATCTAACGATAGAGCACGCTTACTATTACTCAAACAGCTTTCAGACTTGTTCAATACTATTTAATTCAATTTAGACTTTCCTATCGATTGACTGAATCGATGTACTCGGTCTAATATCCGTTGCACCAAAGGTGGCTCTCGTTATCTTAGTGGTTTGATGGCGTTTGGCTTTGGCGTTTGAAACTATGGGCACGGTGGGAAAACACAGCCCACTCACTCACTCACTCACTCACTTGGGGAATGCAGGTACATCCAGCCCAAAGGTCCTAGAAAAGTGCGGCGGAATGTGCATCCTAGTGGATCCCACTGCTAGTCAGCATCAACCGATTGACTTTGTTAATATTGATTTTTTTATGATATTCTATCTTTTGATTTTATTGGTGATAATATCTTCCACATCTGAGATATTGTTGTTGTGAATGTTAAGTATTTTTTTTTGGTTAATAAAGACTGTAGTGTCCAACACCTTGCTCCACTCAGTTATGATACTTTAGAATTGTAACTCTGTTTCACCGTATTACATGATTTGTGTTAGTGTATGGGTTGTATTGTGTAGACTGGTTGTGTAACAACAGAAGACAAGGGCCAGGCAACAGATCGTTTTATTATGAAAATCAACACGTATTTATACATATTTCAGACAACATTATTATAGACAAGCGCAGTCATCTGATTGGTTGTTTAGGTAGACAAACGCAGGCTTCTGATTGGTTGTTTCGGGATTCCTTGACAAATAGAGTTCTCTCTGCGAATCATATTCTGCCACGTTAACTTTGCTGTGATTGGTTGTTGACTCAGGCTTGTTCATATTTTCTCACGGCCCATATTAGTGACCTAGACCTTAACGTAGATTAGTGCCAACCAATCGGCTAGCAGCCTGCTCTCACCACACTCGTCCCCCCGTCAAATACGTGCGACTGAAGTCGGCTTGATCTACTTGGTGCAGGCGTCATCGTTGGCTTGTCTCGCTGTATCCATTTCTGGAGCTCGCTGACGTTCACGCGCCTCTCATTGTTCGCCATTGCGACTGTGTCTGCGTAACCCCATCTCGAAGTGACCATATATGGTCCTTCCCACTTTGGAAACTGTTTGCCTGACCCTGTCGCACATTCGTCCATACTTCGGCCCACACCTTCATATGCTGCTTTCGCCCGACCTCCCAGCAGCGTCTCAAGTAGCAGCTCCATCGCTGACAGGTCTTGAACGCCACTCAACTGCGCAGAAGCCTTGAAGTCCTGCCCGAAGATCCATATGTCTCCATCAAAAACTGCAGGGTATAGGCTTTTCATTTGTCGGTAGGCAGCGACACCAAATGTAACAACAGAAGACAAGGGCCAGGCAACAGATCGTTTTATTATGAAAATCAACACGTATTTATACATATTTCAGACAACATTATTATAGACAAGCGCAGTCATCTGATTGGTTGTTTAGGTAGACAAACGCAGGCTTCTGATTGGTTGTTTCGGGATTCCTTGACAAATAGAGTTCTCTCTGCGAATCATATTCTGCCACGTTAACTTTGCTGTGATTGGTTGTTGACTCAGGCTTGTTCATATTTTCTCACGGCCCATATTAGTGACCTAGACCTTAACGTAGATTAGTGCCAACCAATCGGCTAGCAGCCTGCTCTCACCACAGTTGTACATAATGCCTTTGAAATACGATGGTTGGTAGGGGAAGCGACCAAGTGCAAAACCTAGTGTCTAGCTGTTGTGTTGAATGAAGGCACATTCAGTTGAAGAGTCTTAAACAACCATGAAATATGCATCCTGGTGAATACCACTGCTAGTCACCATCAACTCAAATGAATTCCCTTTAATACATAGAAAGTGTCGAAGAGTCCTTACTAAGAATCAACATGTCGACAAAGGCCAATAATTTAAACCTAAGGCAGTTAATCAAAATGCGTGAGACTGTGGGGAGAGAGGAGACAGGACTAAGCTGGAGTACCGATAAGAATACTCTAGAAAATCTGGATTCCGTAGAAGATATATGTCTAGTATAGCGCACATTCGAAGACTTGCAGGCGAAAACCGACAAAATGGCTGAAGAGGCACCCAATGAAAGAAGGACTCCAGGTGAACATAGAGAAGACCGAGGTTATGAAGATAGCCAACCAACCAACCAACAACAACAAGCACCAATCACCATCAATGGGAGGGATTTAACAGAGGTTACCTCCTTCACCCATATAGGAAACATGGTTTCATCTACAGGCAGTCGGAACGGATGAAGATTTCAAAGTCGAATTAGGAATGGCAAGATACGTCTTCATCAACCTAAAACCAGTTGGGAAATCTTCTGCAATGACTCAGCCAACATAAAGAACAAGATAAGAATTCTGTTCGACACAAATATGAAGTCAGTCAGTTCTTTTGTATGTCTCAGGAAATTGGCGTGCGTGTAATGAACTGGATTTCCAGCCAGTTACAGACTTTTATCAACAGCCGCCTTCATTGGCTCCATGTTGAAGATCAAATGGGTGGCCAACCAGAGAGAACTGAAAAAACAAAAAACTCTAGCTGGGAACAAAGCAACCAAGAGGAGATGACTCAACAAATATTTAACGGCGAATGGAGATAGAGTGATCGGACATTTATTGAGGAGACCGTCGATTGGCACCGAGGACAGATTAATAAAATTACAATCAGGAATTAAAATGCCATATTAAACAGAGGGACAGATAAGGCTCAGACAGAGAAACATCGTAATTACTCAGAAGATTGACATATTGAGCGACTAGGGGTTAGAAATGTAGAAATAACAACAATAGACAGGATGTTTGGATAAAAAAACTAATGTAATCAATAATTGTTTATGCAATCAGGGATTTAATAAGTAGAAATAATAAAATAACAAACAGACAGGAAGTTCGGATGTGAAAATAGGGTAGTGTAAATAGGGATTAAGAAAAACTTGAAATAACATAAATAAAGAGGAAGTTTGGATAAGAAAGTCAATAGGAGAGAAACTATTAGAAGGTCCATATACAAAACTCCCACAATGACTAGAGTATTCATCAATTTTCAAAGCTACGTGCCCCTAAGCAGAAAGTGGAACCTTGTATACACTCTTTCTTCGGGGATTTGGAAGGTATGCAGCGAGGAGGTGATTGATACAGAACTGAGTAGTCTCCGAAGAACCCTGATGGAAAACGGTTTTCCTCCTAGGTTCGTAGACGAGAACCTTAAATAAAAGAAAACTTCCGAACAAGTTCAATCCGTCCCAAAGAAGATAATTCTGCTTAATCTAGAATTCAAAGCAGAAATCCTTCGTAAACGCCTCTGCAAATCTCTGAGGAAGACAAAATTTGCCACGAGCCTACGACTAACGTTTTCCTGCAAGAAACTGTTCAACCAGAACGCAAAAGACAAACTGTTGTGTTGAGACACTTCAGCATACATATAACAGTTTACTTGCTCTTGCAGAGCTAAGTGCATCGGCTGTACCGTGCGCCAACTTTAAAAAACGCGCTTGTGAACAGTTTCCAGCCTAGCTCGTAGAAGGAGAACGAAGATGGGTATATAAGTTCAGTGACAGAACATTTGGTCAATTCAAGATATTCAGCGCCATTCAAAATATCCTTCAGAATAATAAACAAGATTCAATCAAACCTATCAAAGGGAGTGAAATCAAGACATCTGGGCTTGGCGGAGGCACTAGCTATCCAAAAGCTCAAACTCACGCT